GGAGGCTTTTGCTTTTTAGAGTTTGGATATCTTGCTTGTGGTTAGCAAAAGTTGCAATGTAATCTTGGCAAAGTTATCCGGTTGTTCTTCGTAGTGTATCTTTTATACTGAGGTTGTCTTCCCGTTGGAGGAGTAGGAGGACAACTGCATTAAATGAGCGATCAGTTGACTTGACTAGTAGAGCCCGGTAAAGTTGGCAGGTTACTATTTTGGGATAAAGTATTCCTGACATTCCGGCCAATCATCTGCAATTACTCTACGTAGCATGGGGTGCATTAAATGAGCATTTAATGCATGCACTGTAGCTTTTCCGTTTCATACTCCTAGCCGTTGAAGGAATCTTTTAGTTGACTTCCCGGTTCTTTGAAAATCTTCTAAGTGTCAGACCTTCTGGTGTCTATGTCTGAGAGTAGAACAGAGGAGGTCTGGAGCACTTCTGTTGGGAGTATCAAACAGAGACCCAAAAGGGTTTCTGTCAGAGTCAAGACTAACAGAGATCCTGATGACTTCTGTTCTAAAGAAGAGAACCAAAGGTCCTCTGTTTCAATAAAGCCTTAAGAGGCACTTCTGCTCTTGAAGCTCTTCTGTTCTTTAAGCCCTTCTGCTCTTGAAGGTCTTCTGTCAAGTCGAATACATCTAAGAACTTTACAAAGGAAAATTCTAATACATAATTTCTAAAGGGGTACTCTAAAGTCCTAATTAATCTAGCATCATCAAAATCTAATTACAATTATTCCTTACACTGGGGGACTCCTCTCGGCAAAACACGCAAATGTTAAAAATTTTCTATTTCTCAGCTACAACAAACTGAGGCAAGATCACAACGGCAATCTACTCCCCTCGACATGATGCTTTCGACTTACAGAATACCTCCGGCCACACAATGCCTTCGGCCACATGATGCCTCCGGCCACACAATGCCTTCGGCCATATGATGCCTCCGGCCACACAATGCCTTCGGCCACATGATGCCTTCGGCCACACAATGCCTTCGGCCACATGATGCCTCCGACCACACAATGCCTTCGGCCACATGATGCCTTCGGCCACATGATGCCTCCGGTCACATGATGCCTTCGGCCACATAAAGCCTTCAGTCAACAAATGCCCTCGGCAAAGCACACAAATGCAGATCTCTCATTACTTTACAAGTTACAACAAAGAAACACATACGAGCAACACACTTACACTCCCTTCAGAAAGCTCTCAGCCCTCGACATATGGGGGAATTGAGAAAATGAGGCACCCAACAGAACAGGGAAGCCTTCGGGGAAATCACCACAGCTACTCCTTTTCCCTCAAGTACCTTTCGGCAAAAGGAGTGGGGGACTCCTGATGGAATATATGGCCCAGGGACCCCCGGCCCACATACTTCCTCTACTACAATCAGGCCCAATAGGCCCAAACGGGCCAAGCCCAGCAAAATGGAGCTCTAAGCAGCCCACAATACGCAAAGGAGTGCCTTCGGCCCTATGGCCGAAGGCTACCAGTGACGGAATCGAGCTTAGAAACATCACAGGAGAACAAGGCTTGAAAACCAAGCCTTCGGCAACTGCAGCCCTCGGCAGGTAGGAGCCCTCGGGTAGAAGAGGCATCACAGGAGAACAAGGCTTGAAAACCAAGCCTTCGGCAACTGCAGCCCTCGGCAGGTAGGAGCCCTCGGTTAGAAGAGGCACCACAGGAGAACAAGGCTTGAAAACCAAGCCTTCGGCACCTGCAACCCTTGGCGGGTAGGAGCCCTCGGTTAGAAGAGCCTTCGGCCCAGCACCCTTCAGCCGAAGGCATCCACCTCGACAGAATATCCTCTTCACATGCGCCTGGATCACCGTACCAAGTACAAACGTCACATCCAACCACCGCATTTAATGCGGCCACATGCGAGTGCCAGTGACACCCCGGTCGAGGTGACCCCTCGATCACCAGAAAACTGACACGTGTCCTTATCTAGCAATTATTACTGCTATAAATAGCACCCCTTTCCCCCATTGTAAACCACGCTTAATACATATCGAATATACACTCTCTCTCTTACTTGTTTGCTCTGACTTCTCTCTAGTTATTCTCCGCAATAACCCCTCGGATAAGCTACCCCCCGGGTACACGATCCATCACACTTTCTACAAGGACATGCAATAACACCACTTTGATATAAGTTTATCGCAGTTTGGATAAATTCGGTAACTCCTTCCTTAAATTCTTCATTGAGAACTCCTCGTCTTGCAAGCCTTTTATACATCCATGATCTATCCTGACTCATTGTAAAACCTATACAAGATATAGTATTACACAATATTATTGATTCATATCACTAAATACTTTTTTTACGGAATATCACTAAATATTTATAAGAACTATTTAAAATGTAATTATTGTTTTTAAACAGTAAATGAAACATCAACCTTTTTTGTTTATATTTCTTAAGTAATAACAAAAATAAAATTTTCATTTATATTTATCATTAAATTACTCAAACTAGGGCCCACAATCTCTATATTTTAAAAAATCAACAAACTATCATACATACACATTCACGTGTTGAACATATACTTAACAAAAGAAATAATTGTTTTTAGACACTCTTCACGTTAACCTAACATTAAAAATTCATCATATTTTATGTAAATATATAAAAACATGAATTAACAACTAAAGTAATATCTATTTTTTTACTATCACTCATGAAATGGGCCATTTTTTCCAAACGTTACCTAAATCTACCAAAAGGACTATTAATCTTCAAATTAGTTTATATAATTAATTATTCAACAACATGATATAACAAATTCTAAAAGATGGACTAATAAACAACACTTATTTCAAACAAGTACTTCTAAAACTCAATATAATTTGTATATTTAACAAAAAAAACGGGATATCATCATATAACTGATTAATTAATATAAGAAAATTAGAAATAGTAAAAGTGAGAGTTCTAACCTTACATCCCGTCCAGATCCGTATTTTAGAGATGAAGATAAGATATGGGTGTGTGGAATGATGTCACTCTTTTGTGGTGTATATGTACTTCTAATTTTATGACAGATTTTAGTGGCGGAAAAATCCGTCACTAACATCCGGCACTAATTAGTGGCTGAATAATTCTGCCACACAATCCGCTACAAATTAGTGGCAACCAATGTCCGCTGCAAATTATTGGGTGATTAACTTCCGCCATTAAGTTCCGACACTGATTGTTGTCGGATGTGCCAACCGACCCTAAAATCCGACACTAATTTACGGATTTCTTGTAGTGTTATAATATTAAGATGCTAGGGTCGGTGTGACGGTGTGCACAAAACTATTGTAAGCGGTCATAGAAGTAGCCTCACATTGACTGCATGCACGTACACCACCTCCACATTTAGAGGCCGTTTGGCAACACTGTTTTTCGGCTTATCTGGCTTATTAGCCAATTTTTTCACCAAACACGTAGTTTTTCTTTCGCGCGCTGAATTGTATAATAAGCAGAAAAAGTAAGGCTGGAGTTACTTTTCTGGTTGTATTGGCTGAAATTACTGTAGATGACCATTTTAGCTATTTTTACATATAATTTTTTCTTTATTTTATTAATAAAATATATTTTAAAAATATTTTTTTCTTAAATCAGCAGAATCAGCCAATGCAGCCACTTCAGCCAGAACTTCATAAATTTCAGCAGAATCAACCAAAGCAGTCGATTTTCATGCTACCAAACGGGCTCTTAGTGAGTACCTTTTTACATAAGTGATTGTTTTAATTTATGTTCATATACGTGTCTTTCAAGTAGGGTTGTAAACGAATCGAATAATTTTGATTCGATTCGTGATTCGAATTCGAAAATGCCGATTCGAATTCGAGTAAGTAGAATACGAATACGAATATAAATCTATTTTTTGATTCGAATACTTTACGAATACGAATACAAATACTATGATATTCGATTCGAATAATATTCGAATATGTTCGAATTATATATATATATATATATATATATATATATATATATATATAGTCATTCTCCTATCCAGCAGCCCCCGGTCCGAACGCCGTCCGAACACCGCCCTTTGTGGCGGTTCCTGATGGAATTTTCTAATGAATTTTTTTGAGCATGTTCCTCATCAAGTCTAGTTTATCCATATCAAATTTCTGCTCAAAATTCGATCGGGAAGGCAAGTAATTCGTCGAAGTTAACTGCGGCAAATTACCCATAGAAAAACGCAATTAACTTAGACGAACTATTTGACTGACTTCCCGATCGAATTTTGAGTTGAAATTTGGTATGGATAAACTAGACTTGATGAGGAACATGTTCAAAAAATTTCATCCAAATATTCGACCGGGAACCGCCCCAAACGGCGGTGTTCGGACGGCGTTCGGACAGAAAGATGCTGAACCTGAGAATTTATATATATTTACTACTTCTTATGAATACATATAGTTCAATGTAGAAATATTAAAATGTAAATATTTGCATATTTTAATTTAAAATTTTTTACTTTACCAGGTCAAAATAGCTTAATTTACCTTTAAAATATGTAATATGAAAATTAGTTAAAAGGGGCAAACTAACATCATAATTTTAATTATTTTCACAAATTAACTTTAATGTTTTTTGAATTCGAATATTCGAATTCGATTCGAAAAAGATTCGAATATATCAAACGAATCGAATACGAATACAAAATAAGATTCGAATTTTAAACGAATACGAATACGAATATTCGATAATTATACGAATACGAATAATATTATCAAGTATTCGGTTCAATTCAATTCGTTTCCAACCCTACTTTCAACAGGGTCGACTAACCACTCTACTTTCAACAGGGTCGACTAACCACCCTGACCTCCTCGCTCCACCCCTGGTACGTACTACAGTAAAATAAGAAGAGTGATCAAAACATCAGAAAATATATAAATGCACGACCCTTCCTCAAATTTGAATTGCCGGAGAACTAGTAGATCGAGAATAAAAAAAGTCGAAAAAACCAATGTCATAAATAAACAAAAGTTCAACCAGAGAGGAAATTAGGCATTGAAACTTGATTCATGTAAAGAAATTTAGCATCAAAGTTTTGGCTGAGATGTTCACCGTTACACTTAGTATTAATTTAAACTAAAAGTGAACATAATTTATGAATTGTAATTAGCTGGCTTCTGAATCGAGAGCGAGGGTGTGTGTATATTTTCTTTTGGATCAAATCCATGAATGATACCTTAACTATCGATAATGTTCCATTTTGGTAGCTTAACTCTTAAATGAATCAAAATGGAACCTTAATTATACATAAATGTTTTGAATTGAGATTATTCAAATTTCCGACCAAAAAATCACGCGTGATGGCCAGAATTCTATGCGTAAAGTCTACTTCACCTTAGTTTTGTCCATATAGGGTGACTCTACACATGAAATTTTGATCATCATGAAGGATTTTTTGGTCGGAAATTTGAATTAAATCTCAAATTGAAACATTTATATATAGTTAAGGTACCGTTTTGATTCGTTTAAGAGTTAAATATCAAAATGCAACATTACCAATAGTTAAAGTAGTATGCATTTGACGCTTTAAAACTAGCTAGGAAGACACTTGGGATTCAAACTTATAGAACAAATTCAATGCGATGCGAGCATAAGGATCAAATTCGTGAATTACTTTTGTCAAAGCAATGTCCACCTTGTTGCGGTATCTCTCCTTACCTTGGTTATCCAATTCAAAGCTCATCCATGTGTAGTCGGTATCCACACCATCGAGCAAACTCTCAATTAGAAGAAGCTGGTAGCTCAAATCAGAGCCCTTTAACAGGTGCAATTTCTCCCAATATTTCAAAGCTGTGTCGATGTTTTGGAGGGAGAAGTTTGATAAATGCAGAAAAACACCCACCAAGGTACTCATGTTATAGGCATCTCTTCCACCGATCTTTCGCAAAGCCCGGGCCGCCGATTCGGTGCTTCGGCGAAGGATCGATACACCCTTCTTAGCTAGACGCTCTCGGTCGGGCTCATTGGCACATGCATAGCTCAATAGGGTGGCATAACATAGATCGGGATAGATATTGTACATTCCATCACATGATGCTCTAAGGAACTCGATCTTTTTCCTTCCTTCACCACACTTCACCTGCATGTGGGCGTATAAACGAGTTTAACTTCCTCCTATTTAAAGGCAATTCCCAAAACAAATAACATTCTGTTTTTATGAATTAGATGTCATAGACATCATTTTTTTAGTTTGAATTGATGAACTAGTCAACTAGCTATGATGCTTTCATTTTGAACTAAATGTCTAACCGTAGGTGTGTCTCGTCAAGGTGGTTAGCATGCGCGTTTTCGGATAGGACCCATGTTTCATTTCTTAACAAAGTAGATCATGTGTTTCAATGTTGTTATCACAGAAGGGGCTGACGCTAATGCCGTTAGAAATTGCCAAAGGAAGAGGATGAACAGTAACTTCATTTTTCATAAGTGTCTAAAATAAAAAGAAAAATACTCGGAGGTGTGTCTCGTCAAGTAGACTTCCAAACCGTCTTCCTCTTTGATTTTTTTGATTTTTTGGATTATATTTAAAAACCGAATTCGCTAATATCACTTCTCGTGTGGACTTTCCAACGATAAGGATGACTGGAAACAAAAAAGAAAGTTGTCATGGAGGTCGCCTTGATGAGGTGCGCCTCCCAATATTTTTTTTTTGAATTTTTCGATTACTTTTGAAACGGAAGTATTGTTCATCGTCTTCCTTCTGTGTTTTGGACAACGTTTTTTAGACATGACGTGGGTGATAGGGGAGCAAACTTCAGCATTATATCCCCCACGTTCCCAACTCTATCCCACTGGAAACATTTTAAACACTATCCGATCAAATTGAGTTTGGTATGATTTGAGACATACATATGAATAAATGAAAGAAAAAGAGAAAATTACCGACTCCGTATGTATGACTAAATCCTGTATATTTTTTAAAATATGACTTATACGTAGTATCTTTTTTAATAGGATGACATATGACAAGTATGTATATACGGTGACAGGAAAAAATCTTATTGGGGCTACTTTTAAGACATGAAAACCTATACTAAGAAATGTACTTGATAATTAATTGTATTGTATAAGACTTTCGATCCACAAAATTATTAAGTATACTATAGGATAAACTTAGTCAAATGAAAAAACGAGGAAAAAACTAATTAGTGTGACAAAGGGAGTATTCCTCAAAGTTGTAATATCCCGAAAATTTGAGAAAATTTGAAAAATAAAGATTTTTTTTAAGTATGACGTTTGCTACCAATGGAAGACCCAAATGGGGAAGAAACGGAGCAAATTTTACACATTGGTACGTTTGGGGGTCACACACATCTAAAGTTGTAAACGAATTGAATAATTTTTTATTCGTTTCGTGATTCGAATTTGAAAATGTGTATTCAAATTCGAGTAAGTAGAATATGAATACAAAAACAAATATGGTTTTTGATTTGAATAGTTTTAAATTATGAATACAAATACTATGATATTCGATTCAAACAATGTTCGAATATATTTATATATATGTGTGTGTGTATAAAATATTTATTTATACAATATATATTACTCGATAAATATAATTCAATGTAAAAATATCAATGACATAATATTTATGTACAAGAAATATAATAGGTGCTTTGCATGTTTTAATTTAAATGTTCTTACTTTGCTAAGTCAAATTATCTTATTTTGTAGTTATAATTCTCCTTTGATTTATTTATGTTGATATTATATTTGAAGAAGTGACTTGTAGATATATTATGCTTGGTATGGAATAGGTACTATAAACATGAGGTAAAAGGGGCAAATTATACATTATAATTTTAATTATTTTCATAATTTAACTTTAATGTTTTTTGAATATGAATATTCGAATAGTATTCGAACAATATTCGAATATATTTGAATAAACCCAACGATTCAAATAGGAATATAAAATAATATTCGAATATTAAACGAATACGAATACGATTATTCAACAATTATACAAATACGAATAATATTGTCAAGTATTCGATTCGATTTGTTTACAACCCTACGCACAACGTGCGTGATACTACACATGGCGTGACGTGGCATCAAGGTTGAAAAGCCGAGCTACCGCCAGCCACGCACGGCGTGCCTAAAATCCATGCGTCCGATCCAGTTTCCGCAACGTGCTTCACGCACGGCATGCGTCCCTAATTTTAGCCCAGTTCGGCCCAACTTTGGATTTTTGCTATAAATACATCCATAATCCGAATTTATTCATTCCAAAAACCCTAAGACCGACTTACTAAGCTCGATTTATTCCAACTCTTCAATTCTAACAAATCCAAGAAAATATTTTAGGCCAAGAATGTGATCATTCAACCTAATCTTCCGGTAAGTGTGCAATCTTGTTCCTAAGTTGTAACCCTATGACCCTATATCTCCCTAGGGACGTGTGAGTAACCTTTAAATCAGGGATTGACGTTTATGATTCGTTGCTAGCCTCGAGAAAAGGACTATTGCAACCAAAATTACTATATTCCCATATTATGTAATAATTAGGATTTGAGCTCTGAATTTAGATTCTTTATGAAATTTTATGTGTGATTCACCTATGATGAACTTATTTAAGTATGATATGATTCCATGGGAATTTTTGAACGCATGAAATTTGAGTAAATAATTATTTTAATTACTATACCCGAAATTGTGAATTGTGAGAAATTTATATTTTGACTTGGAAAATTGTGAAGATTATTTTGAGACAAATTATATATTTTTAAATGTACAACTTGATGTGTATATATACATATATATTATGGAGTTAGAATTGTCCTTGTTGGTTTATTTTGAACATGAGATTAAATACTATTTTGGAACTAGTTTTGGGGAAAACCCAAAATTGTGAACTATGACTTTGAACATGATATGCTATGCATATATTTTTGAGACGTGAATATGATTGAGATACTTTGAGAAAGTATATATTTGAGAATGAGATCAAATTATTTTGATAAGAACTATGAACAACGATTTCATAATTATGACTTGTGAGTGTCCTGCAGAGAAATCCGGGATGTTAGTGGGTTAGAGACTTAGAGTAGCTACTACCTTTGTGGGAATTTTTTGAGACTTGTAAGTGATTCGGTAGAATTTCCGGACACTAGAATGTAATCATCCCTTTCTTTATGACAATAGTAGTAATTCCTAATTTGCTTTGTGAGGATAAATTCCAATTTGTGAGTAGTTAATAGAATCATATCCTGACTACTTTGACCTCTTACTACTCAGAGGTCTTGAAATCCCTTTTAGAGGGTGTGCACACTTAAGATAGATGTCTAGCTTCCATTATCTATGATCGATGGGATCTGTAATTGCGGGGTGAGTCGTGGCTCGTTGGGGCTGCGGTGACCCCCGTACATACTCTTTAGGCTCGAGGAATCTTGAGTTCTGACCATCACTTGAGAATGAATTAAGACCTGAGAAACTACTTGATTTTGAGATATATCTAAGAATGAATATGTTTTCAATGAATTATTTTACAATCTCATTATTATATGAACTATTATAATATATTACTGTTTTATATGAATTGTATATTACTGACCATCACTATTATATATGAATTGTTTTCAATATATTACTGTTTTGACGTTGTTTTGACACTGGAGGTGTTACAAAAATAAACTACACCAAACAGATATGAAATTTGATTTTGTTTTATCATTATGAAATTTGAATTCAGTTAGCTAAATATATACTTCGTTCATATGAAGGCCCTCATTCATTATCTTGATACCAAATATACTCTTTTAATATCTAGTTTTATGAATCGTTTTCTTTCACATTTAGATTGAGTTCAATGTAATTTAAACAGTACATTTTAAATATCTAAATTGTAGTTATTCAAACTAATTGAATTGAAGTATTATTAGACCGAATTAACACTAAGTTCAGTTAAAAGTGAAATTGTGAATGAGGTGAAGTAGCTAGCACATAAATTTTAGTGTGTAATCACATTTAGATTTTAAATAACTCAACAAGTTTTATTAACCAGATCTATGGGGCACTTGCCCCCTTGTGTATACACTCCAACGCTTTTTCCCCCATGTCAATTCACATGTGTGTGGTGATATAGTAAGAAACAATCATTCATATATACTCCTTCATTCCCGTTGCAATGTTCCTGCTTTCCTTTTTTGATGTCCCGTAGGAAAGTTTCCATTTCCCTAAATGGAAAATTATTCTACATCAAAACAGGGTCAAACAGTGCAAAACAGTGTCGAAACAGTGTCAAACCATGTCGAAACAGCGTCAAAACAGTAAAATTTACCACCTGGTAAATTTATTTCTCTTAATATGTGTGTAGATCAAATCGGGAAGATTCCAAATAGGGAGTACATACATTTTAGAAATTGTCGCGAGTTTTAATCTCAAGGAAAAGAATACCTTTGCGTAGAAATGGGCGGTGAAAGCAAGTGCGTTGAGAGTAAGATTTGGAGCCAATGAGATCTGTGGACTAATCGTCGTGGAACCATTCAAACCTAATTCCTGAAACGCATCATTACAGGCGTCGTACTCCTTAACCGCGCCTCTAATTAAGGCCTCCACGTGTCGGATCTTTTTCTTCTTCTTCTTGATTTCGCCCAGTGACCTTTTCATTCGGTGGACGGCGCGGTGCAGGCCCGGCACACAATCACGCAACTGATGGGGGAGGGACGGCGCTGCCTTGTCTGCGGCGGCGGAGGTGGATCGGCCACTTTTGAGGGCGGCCGATAGAGCGGCGCGGACTAAAATGTGGGGATCTGCCCCAATGGCAGCCGCATAGGGTGAAAGAGAGGTGTAACATAGCTTAGGGTAAGGCGTCGTTGAGTCGCAAGATGCTCTAATGAATTGGAACGGCGGCGTTGCTAAGGCTGTTACGGATGAAAGTAGAAAGGCGGCTAAGCATAGAAAGCTATAAACCATGCTGTTGTTGTTCATTTCAGATACATACTAGAGATGCAGTACCGTACCGTAGGATTCTTTAATTGCATTGAAATTCAGTAGCGTACTCGCAATTTTGTATTCCTACGGAGAGAGAATAAAATACATTTTGCACTACTTACTTTCGTGCATTTATAAAGGGTGTTGCTTCATGCACCCCAAAAATTGCTTAATCTAATTTTGGGTGGACAAATTTGGCCTTCTTAATTATCAATTAAAATTAAGTATAATTAAAACATAAATAAAATTTCTTTGCGCACCTCCAGCTCCATGCCAGGCTCCTCCATATCATTTTTACATTAAGTATGCATCCAATAGAATGATGCCATGTGGCAAGCAATCTCTTTTTTTATAAAATGTCATAACTTTTTCATTTTTGCTCCAATTTTTATAAAAATTATACCAAATTAAATATCTTTTTATGATCTTTCATTTGACACCAATATTATATATGTAATTTAAAAAAAAATCTAATCAAGTCTCGTGAACGGTCGAAAAATGTATATTCACTAAAATAACTTGGTATAAAGATGCAAAGATCAACCCTGTGTGCCACATGTGTATCCAATGACAGGGTGGTGCGGGACTGATGTAGTAGTCTATTTGCTCCCGCAAGTCATCAATAGTGTCAAGAAGGCATATAGGATCATACAGCCCACGATGACGATCTAGTTCTTCCACTAACTCCCTTTGAATCTAACCCATTTTTTTTCTCCCCATCCTAAAAGCTCTGCAAGTGAGTGATATCTGCAATGTCCATCTCCAATAACGTCCACAACTTTATTACTATGCTCAAGCATGAATGTCTCAATATCAGTATCGAAATTAAATTGCTTTCGATTTTGATGTGTGTAAGATTTCTCTTTAATATCCTTGCCACATCCACGAGAACCATGATATGATATTGTACCCTTGGATTTTTTGTATTTTTTCTCCGTGTACTCCCAGGCGCTTGGGTCTCGAGTGGTTGTTTTTTTCGTTTGGCCGTTCCCTTCATTTCATGAAGACGAAATTAACATTCTAAACTTCCATTGTGAAATAAATAATGTTACCCCCAATATATATAATTGCAATATTTTTAATTTTCTATTTTAAATTATGTAATTAACACCATAAATTTACATTTTTGAAAGAAATAATGCAGGGACTTTTTAAAAACTTTTAAAAGGTACAAAAGCTAGAAAGCAGGGACTTATGCTTGCCAAACATAGTCTTAGTAGTTTTTTAATCCATTTTCACCTATTTTTCTAGTTTTTTTTCCTCCCATCCATTTCTAGCTTTATTTATCTTCTACTCTTCTCGTCAACTAAATACGACCTAAAAGTTATGTTGTAAAAACCGGACCGCGAAGTGACCCAGACGAATGATCGGATCACGGGTCAACCTGGACCGGTAGGTCAGCCCGATCTATGCCGCGGTCAATTTTTATAGACAATTTTATATTAATAAACATATGTTATTAAATTTTAAAAATAAAATATTTATTCTTCACTATGATAAAATAAAAATGATATTTAGTCAACAATTTTGTTATATATATGAAAAAAGTGTTATCTGATATTCATTTTAGTTTTGAAATATTTAAATATTTCAATATAATATTGAAAAAAAATGTTAACCATTTTTTAATATTAATATTCAAACATATTAGCATGTTCATCATATTCTAAAGTGGTAATTACCCGGAGAGTCCACTTTTATGTGAGGCATATCATTTATGTCTCTCTTACTTTCTCTTTTCATTTATAAACTTTTCTTTTTTCAATTTTAGTTTTTCTATTTCACTGTTAAATCGGTTCTCCCAACCCAACCTCATCCATCTGTTAAAACTTCCGTCTCCCTTCTCGACTCGCCATATTCCTTCTCATCTCTTATAACCTGAGTATATAATCAAATCATGGCCAGAATTTAAGATTGATTTGAGTTAGTTTTGATTCCTCAAGAGGGATGAGATCGACGACTTGGGGAGGGAAGCTCCGTACAAGCGATTTCCGTCAAATCGGTGGCTCCCTTTCGGAACCTCATCTGAGCAATTGGAGGAAACTAGTACATGCCGTTAGAGCAAAGTCTGGGACAAGCGATGGAGTTTTCAATGTCACGACAGGATACTCCGTGGGTGCTCGGTTCAGCTTTCAATCGTCTGCACGTCCTGCACTGTCTAAGGTTGCGACCTTTCGGCGACTGGCGGCCAATCTTGCCGAGCAACGAACAGAGACCTGCGAATATGCTTAAGGTCGATTTGGGCGGATAATCATGGCAACTCACGATGGAGCTGTGTTCTGATTTCTTGTCCAGTGTCTTCAGCTAGCCAAGCGATCGATCTGATGGTATCTAGGCTAGGAACACAGAGTGTTCGCTCCATTTGTTTCCGTTGAAGAGTAATACTGGATTCTCCCTCGGCATCCAGGTTAGAGCTTTCCGATGCAAAACACAATTCACCTTTGTAGCATTAGCCATCATTTTCTTCTATTCAAAATCTAGCTTCATCGGATTGAGCTAAGTAGTTAACATTTGTCGAATTCAGGATCTGCCAATTCGGAGATAAATTCCAATGAATATTGTTGTAGTGTCTCTTCTGAAGGTTATGAGAATTATATTGAAGATAAACTCTATACTAAATCCAGTGAGATAATCTTCCAAATTTTTTCATTATTCTTCAATTAATCATTGAGCTCTCTATGTTTCTCTAATTTTGAAATGTTTGCTCCTATTATAGTATGTTTGCTAGCGGCTCAAGTCAAATTCCTAGGATAAGAGCAACAACATTTTAAGCTTTGGAGGTATTCTAGGAAGGATGTGAGTCACTGAAGCACATGAGTATAGATACTTCGTGCCTTTAGCTAGTTTCTCCACTTCAACTTTTTAATTTTTTTCTTTTGATTGTTTTCTATTTTAATAATCCATATAGAATTATGAATATCAATCTAGATAGTAAAAAAGTAACAATAAAATATGAAATTACTTTTTGTTTTATTTTCAATGTTATGCTTTATATATTAACTCTTAATATCCTGATTCTAGCATTTTCAAATTAGGTGACTTCATATGAAAATATTTATTATTTTTTCTGTGATTGTATTGTGTCATATGTAGGATTATTGAAAGTTTACTTGTGCATTTTGGCATATTTAATCTTATAAAGGGTTGTAAATTTGAATACAACTTGCAGGTTCATTAGTGAGATGTTATGTGACTGTTTTATTGTAAAAATAAGGTTCAATGAGATGTTTTATTCACTGTTTTATGAGATGTCATTGACAAACTTATTATATGCTCAATGAATTTGTAATATCAACTCATTTTTGTCAAAAAAAAAAAGCAAAGAGCACATTGTTGATGATTCTTGTACTTGTTATTTGTAATCATGAGTGAAACAGGCCACTGTAGGACAAGTTGTGAAGGACCCTCTTGATGCTAGGCTGCTGCTGAACCCGTTTGAAAGTTATCAACGCTCTATTCTATCCACTGCTTGATGATGGCATTGTAGTGTGTGTTGGTGTGTGGATGTGGGTTTTACAGTTGTCACTGATATGATAGGAACTAAGTGTATGTGATTATCTGCAATATTCTTCAGATTAAAGTTATTAGCTCAAGCTGAGCAGCAAGAAGGCCCAGCTGCATCATCTTTTTGTTTGTCTGCAACATCTATTATGGAATTTCTGTATGTTTTGAGAATTAAAAAAATATTGTTGGATTCCAGGTTCTAACTTAAACTTGTTTTGGTACATGATAATAAGGCTATTACAATTTCATTTTTGTTTTTTACAAGGTTCCAATGCATCTAAAACTATAGAAAAGGGAAAGTGGTTGGGACAAGTACCTCCTTGATCAGTAAAAGGTGCAGGGACCGTAGCTCATCTTCTTGGACATCTGTGCTGATTTCCTCTTGTAGTTTAGGGTTTTCTGAAGCAGCAAGAGCTTGTTTTGCTTAGAGTGCTAACCCTTAATGAATGTGTAGTGTACATGACGGTAAGTTTATGCAGTTGTTGACATTGAAAACTCCATCGCTTGAGCATTTGTACAGACGGTTCAGCTTGGAAAATGTGCTGCTTTTTGTTTTCTGAATTCTGAATTGCCACCCTGAGTTTCAATTGCCACCCTGCAGTTGTTGATTCCTTTAGAAGAAATGTCTTCATTGGTGTTAATGTGTAGATGGCTTTGAGCATTTGTCTCTCTGTGTAGAGGCTTGTTAAGTGTAAACCCAAACAGGCTACTTGTCTTGCCATATGCAGTCTGAAATGGCTTAGAGTGCTTATTTTTCAATTGGCCGTTCTACGCCGTCTTTTGAATTGGTCCATGGTTGATCACCTTATTCCACCCTAATGCAAACTAATTTGTTTGCATGTAAAAAATGTTGTTGCTCTTTGTTGCAACAATATGTTACTTTTTGTTGTGTTGTGTTGCATTTTGTGAAGAGAATAGAAGATATTCAACCTTAAAGAATTGTTAGTTTGTTACTAAGATGCATCAAAGGAAGTGAAGGAAAGCCAAATTATATAATACACACATGTAATACATTTAAATACTAGATTGAATTATATAATTGATGTGATATTTATATATATTGTTTTTATTGCTTTTTGTTGTACTAAACATGTTGCTTTTTGTTGCATCCTGTTTTTCTTTGTTGCATCGTGTTGCATTTTGTTGCATTTTATTACTTATTTTTATTTTATTGTTGCTCTTGATTTTTGTTGTTTATGTAGGTTTTTATTTATCTTTGATACTTCTTTGAAGTAAATATATATATATATATATATATATATATATATATATATATATATATATTAAATCATCAAAAATGATAAATTTGAATTTATGAAACAATAAAAAACAAAATTCATAGTTATCAACAAAAGGAAACAAAAAGAAACAATATGCAACAAAAGGAAACAAAAAGAAACAATATGCAACAAAAGGAAACAAAAAACAACAACAAAAAAACAATAAAATTATATATTCATTTATTGAATTTATAATTTTTTTTACTTTGTATATATTTCGGTTCCTAAAATAGTAACTGTTTCAAGAAAGTTTCTTATCTCATATGATAATTTTTAAATTTTTTAAACCACTTATATATGTATATATATATATATATATATATATATATATATATATATTAACAGTTTATATATTTTAGAGCTTAACTTAACTTTTTCATTTTTTGAGAACTTTTTAACGTTTTATTCTTTAATGTCTTTATTTATATATTTGCATTTCTGTTTTAAATCAATTTTATATCCTTTTAGTTATTTGTGTTTTTTATTGTTTTAGTATTTTTATATAAATTTGAGGGTATATGAAGTCTTCTAAAAAATAAAGTTACAAAAAATTGTTACTTTTCTACAATTTTTCCACTTTATAAACTATTTTATCCTTTCACATTTTTTACTTTTGAATTTTGTATTTCCAAATTTTCTATATGTTTGTAACATTTTTCTGATTTATTTTTTTACTTTAAATTCCAATTTTTCAAATTTATCTTACAAATATTCTACTTTGATTTTTTATTATGCATTATTTGATTTCTTAATTTGTTTAATTTATTTCTTTTTATTTTATCTAATTTTAATACTTTTATTATTTTCTAATAATCTACATCTTTTTTTTTTACATTTTACCAAATATTTACATTTTTTCTATTTAAAAACATGAATTGAGTAAGAGGTAGCCTACTAACAGTAACCTACTAACTCCCAGAAAAGGAAACTAACGGCACATGGGTTAGGATACTAACGGTACAAAGGTTAAAGTTTTAATGCCACCGTGTGAAGCCTTAGAGTGATAGAGTCTATTATTGAAATAAAATTTTGATTAGTCTATTTTTGAAAAGAAATTTCAAAAATGAAAAAAGTGATATTATTTTGACTTTTGAGACTATTTCTGAAAAATTCCCTATTCTAAAATGTGATTTTGGGCCTTTTTGAATCAATAATACTACATATTATTTAATACTCCGTATTTATTTTGAGCATCTATATAATATTTACATTTGATTTTCTTTCTATAGTAGATACTTCGTATTTAAATATATAAAATACTTTGTTCAAAAATAAAAATTTAAAGGCTACAGTTACTATGAAATAAAATTAAATAACTACACGCTTAAAATTATATTTGAATTTTATTTGCGTAATCGAATCGTACAATAATGATACATTATGTAATATTATATTTAACGGGTATTAGCCCTAAATGAGATTAGAAGTAGCCCAAAATTCCACATTAGGACTATACTTCTTTTATTTACTATTCTACCTTCAACCTATAATTTCTAATAGATTTATTTATTAATAATATTTATAATAAAAACATAAAAATCGTAACAAAATTATAAATAATTAAAGAAAATAGACACAAATAAAATAAAAAAAAAATTAAAAAACAGTTAAAAACAATTAAAAAAATAAAAAATATTTAAAACAACTTAAAAATCTAAAAAAAAAATTAAAATACCTAAAAAATATTAAAAAACATGTAGCCCACTACCTGCATCCTCCACCTCCCAGCACCACCACCTCCGATCGCCAGAAAAAAGTTCATCTTGTGTAACAAATGTCACATTTCTCTGAAAATGTCATGAAGATGACAGTTTTACTCTTTGAAAATATACAACTTTCTTTTCAAAGTTTCCATCATGATGACACCCCCCCAGCTGGGCAATATTTTCCAGCGACCAGAGGTGGCGGTTCTAGAAGGTGGTTGAGGTGGTGGTTGAGCTCTGTATAATTTTTATTTTTTTTTACGTTTTTTATTTTTTATTCTACTTTTTCATATTTTATAATGATTATTAAAATAATCCTATTATGAAGGACAGGAGAAAGGGTAGAATAGGAAGAGTTTTTTTTTTGGAATTTTAACTTTAAATTCCTATTGTTGCAATTATTCTCTTATTTAATCCTATTTAGGGAAATCTCCTTATATTTAATACTCTAAACTAGGTATATAATAAACACTAAAGAGCTCAAGGTAGCAACAAGACTCATTGGTATGTTGGAGTGATGTGTAAACTATGCAGTGAGTTTGTCTTGACCAAGTGAATAAGAAATGTATCTTACAAAATGGGACTGATGGAGTATTATAAATTACTATTCTGATGTAAATTATACATGTTGTAGTATTGACAATAATATATACATAGTATATATAGAGGATGGTTCAAATAAAAAGTGGTCATCCCATGCAAAGTGCGAAATTTACACATTTTTATGTTTCGCTTGCACTTTTTCTTGTTTTCATTTCACTTTTTCAGTTATATATATACACACACACATATATACATACATACATATATATATATATATATATATATATATATATATATATATATATATATAACTGAATGTATAGTTGAGATAGCTATCTATATCTATATCTATACTAGTTCAGTACCCGTGCATACGCACGGGAAATAATCGATGGATACATTTGTAATCATGATCTAATTAATTAGAAAAGCAAATTAATTTTAAAAAATTGGGATAATTCTTAAAAGCGAGTACAATAAGTCAATACCATAAAGTTAAATTAAGTTAATAAAATAAATAATAAAAGTTAAATATTAAACTTACATGTTAGAGATTTTGGAAAACCTCTTTGAACACAACATTCATAGTAGTGTCTAATGATTTTCCATCCTTATCATGTATTAAAATTTTCAATCCATGCTTGCTCTAAACTCTGGATAATGCCACATACAATTGTCCATGACTAAAAACAGGTCTAGGCAGGTATAATCCAACTCTTTCCAGTGACTGTCCTTGAGATTTATTGATTGTCATTGCATATGAGACCATTATAGGAAATTGTCTTCTGATAAGTTTAAAAGGCCATGGTGATTGAGAAGGAGACATACACATTCGAGGTATGTAAATCTCATCTCCACCATAGCTTTCAGACATGATTCTTGCTCCAATGACATGATTTCCCAGTCTGGTGACAATCGATCTAGTTCCATTACATAGTCCTTCTGACTGGTCTATATTTCTTAACAACATTACTGGAGTCCCAACCTTAAGTCGTATCCTATGATTTGGGAGACCTGATGTTCTCAAGGAATTTAGAAACTCTGGTGTCAACGCTTCAAATGCTTCTGCTTCGACTACATCTGATTTGTCTACAGAATCGCAACTTAAATATTTTCTGTCTTCACCTGTAGTAATAAAATTTCAATGGACGTAATTTTAATATTAAATTTGCTTAAGATTTTATTGTGTCAGTAAATAAGCAAAGTAGCATTTGTATAATATTACCTGGGAGCAAGGAAAGAACATAGTCGTTAATTTTATCGACAATTTCAATAGTCGATGCTAAGATAGCTCTACACTTGAGGAATTCCTCATTTTTGTATTGCTCCAGCAAGTTAGGATATGTGCTTCGGATTATTGCATCTATTGGATCATCAAATTCTTTAATCAAGAATTCACCTGGAATTTTTATTTCTGCATAACCATCATTTGGCTCTAATATTTTTCCATCCCCCACATCCAATATCCATTTTGAAAATTCTTTGAGCTCAGTAGCACTTGTCATATCCAAACTATTTTGGAGTCGCATATTTTTAGTAAGAGACAATACCTATGAATAAACAAAAAAATACTTATATTTGATTATCATAACTTATAAAGTAATTATTCCAAGAAAAAACTTCTAAAGTGATAATTAGTGTTTTCTAAAGTATCGCAAAATTAAACATATTGGTTATGATACTAAAAAGTGAGTTTAATACCTGACAGTCTTCCCATAGATATGAAGAATTTATTGTAGCATTAACGATGTCTGAACGGCTGCCTCCAGGAATAACGGGTAAAGTTTGTCTAAAGTCTCCTCCAAAGACAATCACTCTTCCTCCAAATGGTGAATTAGAATCACCATCATTATTAATGATGTCACTTAGGCTTCTGTCTAATGCTTCAAAACAAAATTTATGAGCCATTGTTGCTTCATCCCATATTATCAATTTAGTCTGTTTCAATAGCTCTGCAAGTTCACTCCCTTGATGTATATTGCATGTAGAGTTCTCCAAAGTAGGAACTGGGATTGAAAACTTAGAGTGTGCAGTTCTGCCTCCAGGTAAGAGTAGAGAAGCTATACCACTGGATGTGACAGTTAAAACGATATGACGTTGAGAACGTAAGGCAGAAGCTAGTGTCTTCCACATAAATGTTTTTCCTGTACCACCATAACCATATAAAAAGTATACCCCGCCTTTTTGGTTAGTCACAGCTTCCATTATTGTGTCAAATATGGCTTTTTGTTCATCTGCAATATTAGCATCAAAATGTATGAATGAAATCATTTTTCTCTTGACACTCAAAACCATTTAATATGACTTATAAATCATATTATTTGTAGTTGTCTTACCGGTAAGAGAAGCATACAAACTTTGAAACTCCTCACGCAACTTGGATGTATCATACTCACGTTCTGCATATATAAGCCTATTTCCTAGTTGTTCCGTGATATATCCATTTGGATATGGTATTGAGGGAAAGTCTTTTAGACTTTTTCTCTTTTTTTGCATCAATTTCTCAAGCTCCACAAGAGTTAAATTTTTCAACTCTTGATCACTAAGCTGTAAATCTATAAATGTAATAAACACAATTATATCAGTAATTATAAGAAGATGTTCATGTGTATGTGTCCACTGCCATTATGTCTTTATCGTAAATAATTTATTTTGTCACAGCAATGCAAATGAATGACCAATGAGATACGCATGAAATTAAAATTATGAAATAGTTTTATTTGAATATGTTAATTTATGAAATAAAAAATTTCAATATATTGATATAAAAATATATTTTATTTTTATATGTTAATTGATATGTCAACTAATTTTAATACTGAATGTAAGAAAAGTTGTTTGGGGTAATCAGGAAATACTGTTTGTTTATGGTAATAAGAAGTAATTAATTTCATCTTTTACTACAATGCAAATGAATGACAAATGAGATATGCACAAAATTAAAATTATGATATAGTTTTATTTGATTATGTTGATTTATGAAATAAAAAATATCAATGTATTAATTTAAAAATATATTTTATTTTTATATGTTACTTGATACGTGATGTAATTTTAATACTTAAGGTAAGAAAAGTTGTTTGGGGTAAATAGAAAATAATGTTTATTTATAGTATTAGTAAATATTTAATTTCATCATTTAGTAATATTTTAAATTATATAATTAGTGAAAATCTAAAAAGGGTAAGAAAGATCTGGTAAACTAATCATATGTACTCTATGTGAATTCTAATATAAGGTGAATTGAATTTAGGGTAATACTTTTTATGACAAATCTTATAATTTTGTTGGTAGGGTAAACGCCATGAATAACTTGTCATGATACGAATGATAGGTGTAAATCTAATTTTTAATTGATTTGTATACCTGGGATGTTTGAGAGCCTTCGCTGTTGATACAAAATTCCATCTGCCAACCACTGCCAAGTTTGTTCCCATACATGCTCGGGTCTGCTCACAGGGCATGATAATAGCAGAGTTACAAATAATTTTCTCAAGTAGTGTCCTGATGCCCAGTCTTTAACTTCTTTTAATGCTCCAATGTATTCTTTATCATCACCAAGCAATCCCGCCGCAAAACACGCTTCTCTAAAGCTCGGATATTGAATGTTGGCAACGGTCCTAATATCCTCATAACAACGTGGCCCTTTTGTTACAGTGAGCATCATTCTTAAATAGAATAGTTCACCTGTTGTTGGAGGTACCCAGATGAGTCTACCAATAGTGTAACCCTTTGTTCTTGGCTTCCAACACCTCTTGCTAGCTACATACACAAATCGTGAAACGAACTTTGCATATGTCAAATCTTTTCCTTCCGGATAGATTTTGTTTGCTTGCATCCAAGATGTAAACATTGATTCTTTAACAGTTTTTCTTGTGAGCACAGACTAAAGGTCATCATTGTCACTAAAGAACACAGATTGCTCATTGGGAAGGTGAAAGAAAAGTCTTTCAACGGCTGGAGATCTACCATGAATCGGAAAGGAAAAAATCCTCCAACAGGCCTCACATGGTGAAACATACCTGCAATCACGATATTGCTTGATCTCATCAATATTCTCATTTTGGGGTGACGCATCATTGTGTGCTGGAACAATAACTGCTGTTATCCGGTCATATCCTTTGTTGATATACTTGAATAAGTATTTTATTGAAGTGCTTTGATTACACCATTCCATGTTGATATGCGCTTGGTACTTTAACAACAATTTTGGATTATAAGGCACAACATGACGATTGTCTAAGATACAATCATTTTTTTTTTGATTTTCTTTCCATCGGCTCTTCTCCTATAAATAGGATAACCATCTTCATCAAGCGTCGTTGATGCCTGAAAAAATTGTAAATATTATATATTTCTAATTAAAAGTGATGACAATTATCTTAACTTAATATCTCTTTGCACTGCTAATGTCATGTACGACTTTGGTGGAGTAAGTTTAATAGATAATAATGAAAAAAGGTGGTGTTGTTTCTTTATTTTGTATAAATTGCACTTGTTGTTAAAATTCAAAATCGGTGTTAATTTGTAGTATTACTCTAAAGTGTGACCATGTATAAGTCTTGATTTACTTTCGATGAGGCTAGACCTCCGTACTTAAAATGAATATTATAGCCCCTATATGACTATTTCTTCGTAATATTTTAGTTTAATTTTTTTATCATTCATTAGCAAATGTATGAGACTATTAGGATTTAGGATGATAGAATTTAATTAACATGTTTCTTACGATCTAAATGATAATATTCTAAATAATTGAGTACATAAAAAATATTAAAATTTATTGTTAGTAACTCTAGTAAAATAGTGGCTATGTATATTTATAGATTTAGTTTAATTATTACAATTAGGATGTTTGTATTATATGTATTTCTATATCAGACTTAAGTGATTTAGACCTGATCAGATTAGACTTAAACATATCATAAAAACCAAATAAAGCAAGCCACTCCTGCCAAGACTTCGATAGCAAATAAAATCATGTAACACCATATACTTCATTTGTCCAGATTAAATCAGAAGAAACCTAAATAAACAAAATCAAATCACACTTAAACTGAGCAAACCAATCTAAACCCAACTTGCCTGGAATTGCTTAGGATAATACTTGTTGCACTTCCCATCCTGCATGCACGGTGATGAAGGGTTCGCTAAACCGCATGGACCATGAATCATGTGAGATTTGACCAGGTTGTACAATTCTTTCTCGGTCTCTTCATCAGGTATCTCTGCTGAAATAATCTTATCAATATCATTGGCAGTTGGGTACTTGTTCGAAGGATGCAAAAAAATGAGTATGTGCCCATGGGGCAATCCTCTTTTTTGGAACTCAATTGTGTGCATATCTGAAAGAAATTTGTAGAAAAAAATAGAATAAATGAATTGCACCAGTAAATGTGTAGTGTAAATAAGAAATATGTAATATATTCATATATAAAACTTACATGCAAGAACTTTTCCGAAGATATGCCTTTTCCTTAAATCTGTTAATAACTCTTCAAACTTTATCCTGAAGACCCTTGCAACAATATCAGGACGGTCATGCGGCTTCAAGTTTAATGGTGCAAATACTCTCTGAATCTCAGGCCAGTTGGGATTGCAAGTGAACGTGATAAAGAAATCAGGAAAGCCAACAAAAGCGCAAATTGCCATACCATCAAAGTAGAGTTGATCCATGTAGCGACGACTTCCTACAAATGTCGATGGTAGTACAATTCTTTTCCCCTTTTCAGATCCTGGACATTGTAAGTTGTGATTTGTTTGACTGAGGTTACTGTATTTATCAACTCTTAGCTTTTTTTGGTTTCTCCTGATAAAAGATAACCTCTCTGACTCAAGCATAGTATAGCCATCAACTACGAACTGCTGAAATAATCTTCTTGATCTCAACAATGTTAGCGCCTCATTTTTCCTTGTTTGTAGCCTAAAACAAAGCCACTCTCTTATGGTAAGATGGTTTCTTTTAGAACTATTAGAATTACCTGTATCTCTATGAAGCACGTCATGCCTGTATCCATCCTCTCCATAAGGAAATAAAAGGGGATACTGATAACTCAAATAGCTAGTATGCAGCTCACTTATTCGCTGAAGTGTACGACTTCGGGTCTCCATTATAATATCTCTTTTTGATGAAGTGTTAACATCTCCAACAATAAGAGCAGCAACTTCTGAAACCGTAGGCAAGTTATATAATCGGCCATCACTAACTCTGTCAGAAATCAACTTTAACCGCAGATCCTGCATAGGTGCATCTTGCAATCTTTCCTTAGCCATTCTAAAGGATTTTGCATGCACATTGTATTCATGTAGCATGGCTGATAATTTGCCCACAATCTGATCATCTATGTCATTTGGGTTTCTACAATTGCACAATAACATATAATTAGAAATAATAATTTAATAAATTTTTATTTAGTGTTCCATGATAAAATTAATGCACATGCTAACCTTATTCCTCGAATCCTATTTTGTATCTCATGCTCAGTATCATATATGTATAATTGGGCAAACTTTGGAGGTTGACCTGGCATAGGTAACATGCTTCCCACTCGATGGCATGTTTGGCCTTGTATTTTGAACGTAGGCGGGCCTCGACCATCGTTAACTGACTTGTCAATTTTAGCACCAGGCGATGTGAATGCAAACATCATATTATACGCTCTAATATGTTGTTGATAGTTTTTGCTATCAACATCATTGTCAAATAAAAGATGCTGAAGAAGCACAGGTGGGTCCTTGAGTAGTGGCAATTGAACTTTCCCCCTCCCACAACAAAGATTAAACTTAGGTAGCGTGGTGTCTTTATATTTATTTGATCTTTCTTGATACCACATGTATGCCTGGCATTTGTCGCACTCAATAAGGGGATCTCCAATATCAAAGTATCCTAGAAATGAATAAAAATTTATCATAAGGAATACACAGTGATTAATATGATTTAAATTGTACTGAATTATTTAATTATTGTTACCTTGATTGAAATCAAATTCTGTAGTGTTTTCATGAGTAGCTGGTGACTCCTCGTCTGAACTCGTGTCATCATCGGGGAGCTAAACCTGTTTGAAAAGAAGGTTCAATGTGCATATACAATCATTGTGGTTTTATTTATATTGATAATAAGTTATCATTTACCTTCAAATTGATCAACATCACTATCAGAATGAACTTGTTCACTTCCTTGTGGGCCATATGTTTCACGTATGCTCACACTATGACTTGAATTTAGAACATAGTTTTGGTTTGTATAAAGTGTGCCTTGGCGTGATGATGAAGGAGTTACATTGCAAGGATTATGCATATCAAGTTCATTGTCAAAAATTAGAGTCTCCTCTGAGAATTTGGTCATTAGATTCACACCTATAGAATCAGCATGAATGGCTCTTCTTTTTCTTTTTGATTGATCTTGAGTCACACTTAATTGTGTGTTGATGTACTGACCACTTGAGATTAAATTTATCGTGGTGCCGGTTACTTCATTCGCATCAACATTT